CTCTCTCTCTCTCTCTATATATATATATATATATATATATATATATATATATACTGTATATAATAAAATGAATGAATTATACATACATACATACATATATATATACACATTTAATTATATTTTAAAAAATCTGGTAATAAACAGGTTTTGAAAATTGTAACATGGGAAAGAAGGTCAGAATGTATTTAAAAGAAAAATATTTTTACATTCTATCTCTCCCCCTATATATATACTGTATATAATCAAATGAATTAATTATGCATACATACATACATACATACATACATATATACATACACACAATTTTCAAAACCTGTTTATTACCAGATTTTAAATATATAATACATATAAATGTAATTATATATTTTTTAATCTGGTAATAAACAGGTTTTGAAAATTGTAACATGGGAAAGAAGGTCAGAACAAATAATAATAAAAAAAGATTTTTACATTCTCTCTCTCTAATATATACGTATATATACATACATACAGTGGGGCAAAAAAGTATTTAGTCAGCCACACAGTATACAATAAAATGAATGAATAATATTTATATTTTTTATATATAATATAAATTTAAATTTTGTTTGAAAATACTATAAAAACAATTTAAAATTACTACTTTCAATTGTAATATATTTTTAAAATATTATTTATTCCTGTGATGGTAAAGCTGAATTTTTAGCAGTTATTACGCCAGTCTTCAGTGTCACATGATCTTTCAGAAATCATTCTACTATGCAGATGTGGTGGTCAAGAAAAATGACTTATCAATGTTGCAAACAGATGTGCTGCTTAATATTATTGTTGAAACTGTGATACATCTTTTCAGGATTCTTTAAAGAATAGAAAGTAGTTACTTGTGTGTGCATGTGAGTTTTAATTTTAATTTTATTGTTTTTATTTAAAGATTCAAATATGTGAAGTTTGAAGTAATCTGTTTTACTACCTTTCAGGCCAATATATTATTAATAGGGGTCCATATATAAATTCATATTTTGACCAATAATTAATATTATGGACAATATTATAACAGCAGATGTTTATTTTATAATAATAGGTCTAATATTTGCCTAATAGGACCACTTAAAAAAGCTAAAATTGGCTGATACCAACATGGTAATCAATATATATTGCACATGACTATTAATTACAAGTGACTGAAATAAATGTAGATACAAAAACAAAAACATTTACCTGATAACCCTCAGTCTTCTTCTGGCACCACCTGAGCAGAGCATTCCTCTTGGATCCTCCATATTCCCTGGCTAACGCAGACAGAGGGTCCTTCCGTTCCTCTCTAAAGAGACATCAATCACTTTAACAACACAGTTCCTTTGTATTGGATTCAACTTTAATAGCAAAAACCATCCTTCATTTTTGAGCGGAAATTCTACCAAGATGCATTGACATGACAGATGCACCAACTTTAAGATCATTCTGCCACTGCCACTGTAACAATTTATAAATTCATCATTGATTCTGTATTGTAAAAATAGATCATCTTACCTACACAGAAAAGTACGGAAGTAGATTAGGGACAAGCAATAAAAAAAAATTTAAAAAAATGAAACCATCTTAAAGATTAAAGTTGTTACATTTCGAGAAATAACTCGTTAAATTCCGAGAAAAAAGGTTGTTAAATTCCGAGAAAAAAGTCGAAATACAATGTTGAGTACTGCAGACGCTGTTTGACACTCTCCAACAAGATGAAATGAGCCTGACATGAGTGTGTTTATTCTCCGCATCTTATAAGTTTAATCTTGAAATTTAATGACTTTTTCTCGGAATTTAACAAGTTTATTTTCAACATTTTATTTCGACTTTTTTCTCAAAATTGAATGACTTTAATCTTGAGATGGTTTTATTTTTTATTACTGCTTGGCCCTAATCCTCTTCCGTAGAAAAGTCAACTCACTGCACTGAAGAGAATAATTAATTTTAAAAATTTTAATATAAAAAAAATGAAACCATCTTAAAGATTAAAGTTGTTACATTTCGAGAAATAACTCGTTAAATTCCGAGAAAAAAGGTTGTTAAATTCCGAGAAAAAAGTCGAAATACAATGTTGAGTACTGCAGACGCTGTTTGACACTCTCCAACAAGATGAAATGAACCTGACATGAGTGTGTTTATTCTCCGCATCTTATAACAAGTTTAATCTTGAAATTTAATGACTTTTTCTCGGAATTTAACAAGTTTATTTTCAACATTTTATTTCGACTTTTTTCTCAAAATTGAATGACTTTAATCTTGAGATGGTTTTATTTTTTATTACTGCTTGGCCCTAATCCTCTTCCGTAGAAAAGTCAACTCACTGCACTGAAGAGAATAATTAATTAAAAAAAATTTAATAATTAGCAAACTGACCGTGTCCACTGATATACAACCTGTAATCCTGGTAAAAAAAAAAAAAAAGACAAACGAACAAAAAACTAAATTAAAAATAATAATGATAAATATATTTTAATGATATATTAATTATTTACTGTTGTTGTCCATAATTAATTGTTTAGATTATATTATGTTCTACGTTATATTGTACGCTTAACAACAATAAAAACAATCCCTGTGCATAAATTTCCAGTTTCAACCAGCCAGCACTTGAGTAAAACCAGCTACTATCAGAAGTTGGTTCTAGCTGGATTTTTCCAGCAAGGAAGTCAATGCTACGACCAGAAAGAAATGCACTGATAATAAAAGGAAGTGCAGAATGATTAGGCTTCCTCCAATGGCCTATTCATAAGCCACGGTGGACCCACGGTCAGATTTCAGGACAGGCAAATGAGTGACATCCATTATGAAAACACTGACCTGTCAACACCGCAGCGAACAGACAGAGACAGAGATAGAGTGTGAAACATAGAGACATCAGGCAAACCTGACAGCGAGAAAGAGTCTTCTAGAAAGTCAACAAAAGAAGAGCCAGAGCAGAGTTGAACATAAAAGAGACGGAGGAAAATAGAAAAACAAGGAAGGTCCACCGCTTACCGTAAACGTCCTCGTGTGGTAGGCGTGACGGAGGCGGTTGGGGAGGAGGAGTTGGATGACAAAGAAAGCTGGGGGGAAGACGAACCTAGCGCGATGATTGACGATGGCGTTGATGTGTCTGTTACCGACAAGTCTCTCTTTAACTCTTCACTGCTTCTGCGAGAAACTGACAAGTAGAGGATGCATGGACATTACAAAATCTGTGTGCTGTTAAAGGAATAGTTCACCCAAAAATTAACAATTGCTGAAAATTGATTTACCCTCAGGCCATCCAGTTTGTTTTTTCATAAGAACAGATTTGGAGGAATTTTGCATTACGTCACTTGCTCACCATTGGATCCTCTGCAGTGAATGGTGCCATCAGAATGAGTCAAAACAGCTGATAAAAACATCACAATAATCCATAAGCAATCCACATGACTCAACATCCTGTGAAATGAAAAGTTGCATGTTTGTTAGAAACTCATCCAGATGATTTAACTTTAAACCGTCACCTCTCGCCAAAATAGGAGTCTTCTATACATAATAATGCTTCCTCCAGTGTAAAAGTCATCTCGTCTGAATCAGGATAGAAATATATACAGATCAAGCACGGTTTCCTTTCGAAAAGAAAATTCTGAACAAATATGTTGGTGGATTGTGATGTGAGAGGACAACAGGAGATGGTCTTTTTGACTACAGGAAGCATTATTATGAATTATGGACAGGTAATTTGCATAGAAATGACGGTTTAGTGTTTAAGCACCTTGATGGATTTGTTTCTTACAAACTTGCAGCTTTCCGCTTCACAAGACATGAAGTGATGGAGTGGTGTGGTTTACTTGTGGATTATTGTGATGTTTTACCAGTTGTTTGAACTTTCATTCTCACGGCACCCATTCACTGCAGAGGATCCATTGGAGATCAAGTGATGTAATGCTAAATTTCTCCAAATCTGTTCTGATGAAGAAACAAACTCATCTACATCTTACCTGGCCTGAGGGTGACTACATTTTAACCTAAATTTTCATTTTTGGGTGAACTATTCCTTATATGTGTCACAACACAAAATGGGTATTTTGAATAACTGTATAGTTGAGTATTTAACTGTAGTTGGTGCAGAACAAGTACTCTAAACAGGTCTAAACGTACCTGATATAGACTTAGTCGAGTCTATGTTTGTCACCCTGTGGAGGCTGCAGCTGGGGCGCATTACAGGTGAGGTCCGGAGGAGGTGGTCTGCTATTGAATTACATAAAAACACACATACATTCATGACAAAGAATAACAGGCTTTATGTGGCATGACTAAGCTTGTGCTCTTCTAAAATAAATATCCTGCTTCCTTCTCCAGGCCTGGCACACAATCTCAGTGGTCATTAACTGCAAATGTTAAGCCTGAGGGAAACGGTACAGCACGATTACACATGACCTTTAACTCCGAGTTCGCCTCTGGATAACTAGATCAAAACAGGGAAGACCAAAAGATCAAGGAGTTAGATTTCAAGTGTGACTAACGTCAGCCCACCTGGTATGCTCAGGTCCGTGTAGCTCGGCCTCTTGTCCAACATTGACGACAGGGGCTTGGCTGAGCTGATGGTGTGCCTCTGTAAAATACAGAAAAAACATACAGGTGGTCAAAACAGGGCTGGGCAATACAGCTAAAATTAATAATAAATATTGTATATATTTAGTTTTTTTTAAATTAATTGCTCTGAGGTGACCTTAATTTCAACCAAACCATTTTTGTCAAGCGGATTAAAAATAACCATAAAAATATCTAGGGAGGTTTTTCAAAAAAACTGTCACTAAATTAAGAATGAATTATATTTAATAATTTTCATTATTATGCACCAATATTGTTTTCGTTTTATTTATATACTATTATAGTATTAATAGCTTTTATTACAGCTTTTAAATAGCTTTTATTTTCAGATTTTTTTATATTTTCAGTTTTTATTTTAATTTCAGATTTTTTTTATATTTTTAGTTTAATTTCAGTTTTGGTGTTTGTATTTTATGTTATTTTAGTAGTTTAGCCTTGTAATATTTTAATTTAGCTTTATTTTATTTCAGTTTGAATAATTTCATTATTTTATGATATATATATATATACAGTATATATATATATGAGGGGCCGTACAAGCCATAATTCATTCTGGCACTCTCACACACTTACATTCTCCTTACACAT